CCAGTTGTATGCCTGTCATCATTGAGATTCTCACAGGATTAATCTTATTCATTTCAAAATCTTTCAATATTTCTTCAACATAACAGCTCTGTGTAATCATTAGATTTTCATCTTGATATTTGATCTTCATTCTCAGATAAGATTTATTCTGTTCAACTTCTTTTATCTCAAATCTTTTTCTGATTTTCATTAAAATTCACTTAATTTCACTCTCTTCAGACTCTGTGATTCAACAGTCATTAACATGTAGTGTCAAGAATAACTTGTAAATTGAATGATAAAGAAATTCATCATTGTAAGATAAGATCTTGAATTCTAGATTTATTAAGTGTTCTGTTATAAGAAAATATCATGTTCTTACTATCTGTTTCATTCTGTATAAGCTCTGATATACAAGTTCTACTAATTCATCATGACTGTACTTAATCTCTGTGAGTAGTTGCATAAATATCATCTCATTCTGAGATAATACCTCATTTAAAAACACAGATACATAGTCAATCAATCTGACTTTTCAATCCCTTACTGTTAATATAGTGAATAAGCTCTGTGATATAGGTTCAAACATCACTTCTGTATATAACTTATTATAATAAATATCTTGTTATTATAGAAATTCTTTAATCACTTAACAAGCTCTAAAGTGAATAATTTCATTCTTATTATTCAATTTCTAATTGTATACTTATTTATCTGTAAGAATGTTCATTTCAGAGGTCTTTTCAATAATAATATATATCTTCTTTCATTCAAAAGTTTTCACTTTCTTTCTCATTATCTGATGCCAATGTTCTCAGTCATGACTTCTTTTAGTCTCTGTCAGTGTGATCAGATGATCATTAAGAACACTGAGTACAGAATCTTTATTATTCACAGAATTATTTATATCATTATTAATAAGTTCTGTCTTATCATCTAGTAGATATGTCAGTTTCAGTGCACTGTTCATATCATCATCAGTAAGTATCTTTAAAACATTAGATTTATTCTTTATAAATCTTCTTAGAAGACAGTGTTATCATCTCTTCATAGTATTAAAAACATTCAATTTCTCTGACAGTGTAACTGCTTCTTTAATAACATTTGCTGATACTTCTTCTGTTGTTAATTCTTTATTAAAAACAACATTTCTTACAATCTCAAGCTTTCAGATTGCAGAGTCTCAGATACAATATTAATACAGTTCTTGATATTTAACTAATCATCATTACTTACTGTCAGTTCTATTCACAAGCTTATTGATAATCTTTAGATTCTTCTTATACATCTTACATTCTCATCTATGTATTCAATGAGCAGAAGATTGAACACCTGTTTAAGCTTTAAAAGAGAATAATGAGATCTCTCTCTAATACCTGTAAATCTTTGTTAATGTTGAGAACATATTAATCATTATAATCACAGCTTGAATAGCTTTATCTCAAAGTTCTCTTACAAGCTCACTGTTAAATAGTAAGCTTCTTATCTTTTCATCTATAATATGATTGATATATTCTGCAGAGTCATTGAACTGTGATGTATTAAATATAGTAATCTCATATATAATCTCTTTTCATCAGCAGTAGGTCTTTAATTCATTACTTTTAAATTCATCTTCATCATCTCAGTGTAAAGTCTCAATTCAATGTTGAGTAGTGATCTCAATTCTGTTAATAAAGATTATTAAATATGCAGTGATCTCACTCTTTAATATTATAAGAATAATTCATCTGTAGTATATAACATTATCTATAATACTCATTCAATAATTAGCTCTCTCATGAGTAGAGAGATTGATTTTATTATATAGTATACAGTTATCATCTACAAGATTTATAAAGAATCTTATCACAGATTTAACAGTTCTTGTCATTGATATAAATATTGAATATATCATTTTTATCTGTACACAGGTCTTGCAGAATGATAAAGCCCTGTCACTCTTAATTCTTATTCTCAGTTATGAATCTGCTACTAATTTAGTGATATCTGTGAAATTGAGATGATCAAGCTTTTAATCTTATTATAACATTGTGTGTTCAATAATCTTGATATTCTTATTAAACAATACTAGCAGAGAATCTTTTTTCTCTACAGACTGTAGAATTTTTACAGATTTAAATTCACTATTTAATATTATGAATCAAATTAAGTCTCTAATTATTAATTATTTTTTCAGAATGTAGATGTTCTTATCACTTAATTTAACAGTAAAACTCAACATCTTGTCAGAAGAGATTAGTAAGATTGAATAAGTATTCTCATAGATCAGTTACTTATATGTATAGCTCTAATATACAAGCTTCTCAAAACTTATAAGATTCATCTTCAGCTTAAGAATGTAGCAGACATTCTGCAGCAGTAGATTCACTTCTTTAACTAATATATTTATCTTTTCTATAGCTGTTGCAGAAGCTGTTGATCTGTCAGTTATCTTCAATATAATATTAATCTTCTACAGCACTATTAATATGAGATTCTTGTAAGATGTAGTATAAGCACTGAATTCAGAGTTCAGAACTCAGATATCTTTGTCAGTTTAATCAGTAGAATAAACTGTTTCTGTTGTATAAAATACTTACTCAATGACATTATGAACTGACACTGAGCCTGTTTCATTCTTATTCTTATTCTTATTCTTACTGTGACTAGTAGAGTGTTTTTCAGAAAATTTCAATTAGTAATCTGTTTGAATGTGATTAATCTTCTAACAATGATAATATATTTTAATAGTATTATTACTCTTTCTATCTGACTTAGTGAAATCTTTGTTCTTATTCTCAGAGATTTTCTTCTTCTTCTTTTTATTCTTTCTGTTGAAATCTTGAGTATTATTTGCAGAGGTCTTTTCATCAGAGATGAGAGATTCATCAGTAGCTAATAATTGTAGAAGAATATCTTGACATAATTTTATAAAATTATTTTCAAGTATTCTAGCATTCTCATTCTTCTCTATTACATTCATTTAATTCTTTATAAAAGATAATCAATCTTTACTAATCTCTGTAAGAAGTCTGTTGAAAAATATGAAATCTTTAATATTATATTTCAATCAGATATAATCAGTTCTGATTATAATTAAATATTTAATAAATATATAATTAGAATTCTTTGATTTTAATATTATCTTAATTAATTCTTGAAATAGATAAGTTCTATGAATAGCAAACCTTTCAGTGAAATTATTCTCTATAATAGATTATAGAGAATAAGTAGATAGTTAAGACTTCTTAAGTATAATAAAGTGAGATTTAATCTGCAGAGTAATTGCAGATTATATATAGTTATATAATCAGATATTCTATTCTGATTAAAAATATTATATATTTATACTGACATTCTCATCAGAATTAATCTGCTTATTATTAAAAATATCATTTATTTCAGATTATTTTACTATGAGCAGAATCTCTTCTTTTTATATAGAATAATTTACAGAGTCAGTGAGTATAATAGACTTCTTTATAAATCTTACTTAATCTCTGAATTTATTAAGAATCTTCATCAATATAGATATTTTACTCTTTTATTGAAAATAGTTTATTAAATCTGTACTAAACTCTTTATTTTCATTTCTGTTTATCTTTATTCACTTAACTTTATACTGAAGTCTTGTAATTTCTAGTCTTATATAAGTCTTCTCACTCACAGAGTTATTATCATTTCAGTCACTTAAGCTCTCTGTATTATCTGATATCTCACTGATAATATCTTCAATCAGATCTTTGTATACATTGAACTCATCAGACTGTTCTTTTATGATTGTGTTGTCTGGCTTAAACACCTCAGAGACAGTCACTTTTCAGTTTATTATTGATGTTAATAATGATCTGTGATCTTGCATCTGCTGTTCTGATGTCTTCTCATTTCTCCGCCTTGAAGACACATATTCTTTTGTTAAGTCAGATGTCCCTCCGGATCTTAGATTAACCATGGGTTCAATCACTCAATAAATCATCTAGGCACGCTTGTAACAATGCATGAAGATGTCAATTGCATGTTATTTTGCAGCTTTTCATTGTGTAGAGGGCTTCATAACCTCTTGAAGGATAATGTTGTTGTGTTGTAATCTAACTACGCGAGTTACACTAAATAGGTTGGGGTGGCACGTGACTAGGGTAGGTGTAGTAATCACCAACAGAAACGAGCGTTAGCCGTTAGGTGGTTGATTACGTTAATCAGCACCTACCCTAGCCACGTGCCACCCAACCTATCTACTAGGTAAAAGCGGGGGCCTTCCGACTATCGCAATTGAAGATAATTGATCCTCTACACGGTGACTGGTACTTTATTGAATTTGCTCCAAGAAGAACTCCAATTTCACTGACGAGGCCAGGGCCCCACAATTTGAATCACATACTGAGTACAGTCTGCAACGAGGGACTTATTTAAAAGTCAGCACGAAACGTCAAAGCGTGTTAGTGGCCTGAGGCAGCAAAAAACTCGACCCACAGTGGTGGAGCAAGCTGGCAAGCATCCAGGTGCGCATTTCCTTGTAACAGTTCGTTCCACGGTGGTAAGACGGTGGCCGCTTTTGCTTCGTTGACTTCGATTCCGGGTCATTCGATTATCTACTG